AAAATATATCATTTTGGTTTTTTAATGTCTTTTATTATATTAATTTACTTTTTTTTTATGTAGATGACATAAATTTGTATCAGATTGTTATTTATTTCTATTAGAATGAAATAGCTTGTAGTTATAAATAATATAGAAAAATAATTATAATTTTTTTTTAACTAAGTGTTGTAACGTTGTCAGTATCAAACCTTTCTTAGCAATTTCCTTTAACTAGGTTTAAATATTTAACTAATACTACTTTCTATTTTCAAACAAAAATACCTTATTAATTGTTAAAACTTAAAATGTGAAAAGGTGTTTTTAAGTATTTAAGTAAGACTGTATTTCCTAGTAATTTGTCGACAGTGGTCATCAATATTGATGTTTAAGTTGCTTATACTTGACCGACGAACGGTTGATTTATTGGATACCTGATTGTAGTCAGATCGTGATAACAAGTCCGTAGTTTGCAAAAACGATGAGGGGGGAGTCAAGGCCGACAGTACGACATACATCCCGCCACATTCACCTTCCGTCCGCCGCTGCACCGTACTCGCAGCCGGCCACCTACACCTACCCACCACCACTGTCAAGGCTGTCTTGCGAAATATCACTACATCTGAGCGACGCACACCAGTAAACGCACACAATCAACTCTCTGTCTAGTTACGAGAGAGTCGCTTGTGAAAATAATGTCGCAACTAGTCATTGGCCTTCGACATACAACTATCCTTATATTAAAAAGTTTTCATCGAATGAATTCCCGCCTCTATAAATAATTTAACAAAGAATTTCCGCGTACTTATAACCCTATGGTATTCCCCTCCGTATATGGAGAGATACACGTTGATATGAAATTATGAAGTGCCTTTTTACCATGTAATTCCTTTTTGTCTTCACGCCACTTCATACCAATAAGGAAGACTTCAGCTTTCCGGGTGGCTGACACTAAATGACCTTGAATAGGGAATTTTTATTATTGCCGTCTTATTCCTTTAAAGGCGAGCTTTTAATTTGCAACTTTAGCCATTATTACGGTATATATTTTATAGCTTCCCATCCCGGAGTTGATTTTATTATTTATGACTGCCGACTGCGATTTTAGTTATTCGACGAAGGTGCAAACTTGCATTACAATGTATGGGTGTAATGAATTACAGAATAGAAACCACAACGCATTCAGAATTAAGTTGGCGTGAAATCGTAGAGATTTTTCTGGTAAATTATTCATGTGGCTCACGTTGGGCTAACTTTCGACGCCTTCTTGTGAAAGCCTTTCACTCTTATCATGGGAGTTGTGTGTTACGTAGATATGTATATGAATATCGTTTTAACTATGGTCTGTAATTAGTAAATTATAATAATAATAATCTCAGGACAATTCACACAGGTATTGTTACGATACTGATATGAAATAAAATACATACATATTATACATAGATGGGTTGTTTGTGCCGTGCGATCATAAATTTGGAAATGTTGATTGAAGAAACATATATGTAGGAATTTTGATTTTGTACTTAAATTACGTAGAGCGGGTTTATATTCATTGATGTAGCGGCAAGCGTGCACGCGTAACGGATGCGTTTTTAGTTTAGCTACAACGGCAGAAAGTATGTTAATATGTGCACGGTTTGATCAACCAACCGCATACGACACGCGCCATTGCCGCTTCTTCCCGTGACTCGATCCCGTTGCTATTAAAATTTGAACGACTTCAATATATGAATTAAATATATCTACGTATCTGTATATTATAAGTTACTAACATAGTTTTGTAAGTTTTTTACTAACACAATATGGATGTAATCCGAGTTAACATTAAAATAAATAAATAAATAAATAATATATTTATTTATTTTTTATATATAATACAGATTAAACATTTTCTAATTATTATACAGTTTATATATATTATAATTTCCTTTTAAATGGTCCGAATCAAATCACAGAATCCTTATTCATACCTAATCTAGGATATTACCTTGCCTAGTATTTCTTTTTAATTCATATTATGCGATTTGAATTCGGTATTTTCATATACTGAAGTATAAAATTTATGAAATAGTTTTTAGTTGGTTATGTAGGATTAATATAACGTTGGTGATTTTTCAATATCCGCTGACAATTTTTGTAATGATTTTATTTATAATGTTACCAGTTTTTATTTCCCTAAAATTTTCCATTGACTGACCACAGTGTACTAATCAAACAGGAAGTTAAATATGTCCTTCCCCACCTCAAATAGTGCATGTACCTACTATGTCTGCCATTTTAATGTCAATTTACTGAGCGGTCATAAATCCTATAACAAAAAAACAATTGAATAGTGTTAGTAACGATATATTTTTAATATATTTTATGTAAAGGTGCACTTACAAGTTTTTCAATTACAGATCAATCAATCAATTAATTTTTACACTATAATCACCAAGCCAGCATCCTCCAATTCTTCAACAGTTCTAACACTCTCACATACTAATAAAAAAATATATACGTACAAATTAGCTGTAAAAGATTGAATATTTTTATTTATATGCTACAATAGAGCATTGCGTTGAACGGAATGTGTCATGTATTTGAAACCGGCCTTGTATCCGGATATCTTCCAGTCATACTGTTTTATGGAAATGCGTAATCTTTTACCACTTTCACATTTTTTAAATTGCGTTTTCCGTTGTAATGTCTACAAAGGTCTCATATTTCGTCATACCGTGCTTTAAAAGGCCAGTAATGCTTCTTAAATAATTTTCAAATTGAATTTTCAATTATAGTTTAATTATTAATATTACTCTAATTAGCTTTTGAATATTTTGTAAGTTATTGTCTGTTAACAGAAATATATTTTTCAACTGCTATTATTTTTTGTGTATGATAGTATAGTCCAACACAGACAAATTATGTACCTTGACATAAGAAAAAATGAAAGGATCAGGAAAAAGTTACTTTTTATCATATGAATGACTATCATTTCCGGGGAAACTTCGTGGCACGACTTAACGTGTGTATTGGCGTAAATAGTCTAAATACTCTTATATAAATGTTAATTTTATCGTAGTAATAGACCGTTCCAATTGAAACCTTACACAGTTATCCGTAACCGTGGAATGGAATGTTATACACACAAATATCCAGCCATGTATTATGTTATACTAAATATTAATATTGCGACAGATATTCTTTACATTAATTTCTTACTATTAACTAATGTATGCTATACGAAAACTGGCTCTCATTTCCGTCATATCCCTTTAACGTTAAAGTAGGCGCATGGAATCCAAAGTCGGTCACTGAATGTGGGCTAACAAGTGTCCGGTGATTACTAATGAGAGTGTGGCCGCGCACGGATCCCTTCGCTAGTGTCCACGTCACACTGTCCGCACCTGTAGCATTCATGTGCTCATGCACAGCACAGTAAATAGACAGAGGCAGACGACGCTCATTTTTCAATGTATATGATAACTTCGAATTGATGTCTAATTTGTAATTTGAATTTACTGTCAGTACAGTAGTAAAACATATTACGCCGACCCCAAATAAATGGGATAAGGAAGAAGCAGATGATAATGATGACAGTACAGTAGTTTTTTCTTTACTCTTGATATTTTTTTAATTATTGAGAGCCGAATGCGGCTCCGCTGTGCTTAAAATAAATAAAATGACACGGAGAATCTAGTTACTCGAAGTTTCGTATAAACATATAAAAAACCCAGACACATACAAAAAATCATACTTATGAATAAAAATTTTTGCACCGTGTGAGAACTTATGCCAATCGGAAGTAAAGCAGTGTCATATGCGGCTAGATCACCGAGCATTATAGCCAGTAATATGATGTTGTAGACATGCTGAAACAAGTTACGTAGATAGTGCATTAGCTTGAATCAAGCGGCTTAATGGTGTAGCAAAGTAGGTATGGAATGGAGTCAACGAAGGCGAGTAGCCGCAGGGTGCAGACCGGTGTGTGTGTTGCGCGCAACACATACCCGCGCCTCGGAAGCGGCCGTCGATACGTGTGCGTCATTAGTATGCGGCCGGCCGACGCATCACAACTTTCTCGGCATTCTTACCGTACCGGAGAAATGATCGCCATCGATACATTTAACGATATTTCGTACGTTTCATTTGATCGTTGTTGGTACTCACTAATATTGTTTAATATAATGCATATAAATAATAAAAGTTTACCTTAAACATGTTTCAAGGACATTTTGTGTAATCACAGACCGTTCTAACTAGACTGAGTTTACTACTAATCTTTTTTTTATATTGAAATCAGCATGACCTTAATTTTAAATAAGCAATTTGGTGCAATACTAGTTTGTGATTCGGCAAATGCACTTTCGAGTATAATGTAATTAATAGTAAATTTGCTTTTTTAAAGTAATGTTATTGGATTAAGTACTAGTTTTGGCAGATTGATATGTTTATTTGCTTGAACAATTGCTTTTACAGATGTTATGTTAATATGAAAATATACAAATGTCCATCTTATGCTGTAAAGGTATGCAAATTAGGTGCTTTGTGGTAATAAAATTATTTATGTGCATATATAAACATTACTACATTAAATAACAAAGACAAGTAGTTCATACCCAATACTGAGACCAACTAATAAGTACAAGATGGAATAGTACCTTGCAAATTTAAGACATTATTCCATGATTGTGTGTGCTAAGTCATGTTGAGTTGTTATTACATTAGTTGGGGTAAATAAGCAGCTGTAGAGATGTTTCAATTTATTTCGAGAAAATGTAAACATAAAAATATATATACTAAGAGAATGAATCGAAAGAAATAAATTGTGATAATGATCATATTCTGTATAAAAAAATGGTTAGAATATTTAGATATACATATTTTATTATTACATTTAAGGTATTCATTGCTAGGTCATAAATAACCTACCTACCCCTATACATACAACTATGCAGGCATGCAACTATGTATAGTAATAAATTTAAATTTATAAGTTCACTGTTTGCTTCTAGTATAATGTTTTTTTTTTATTTTTCCAGGTGGCGATGGCCGGCGACTTCATCCTCGCCGTGGCGTCGATGATGATAGCTCGCTTGCGCAGCGATGAAGTCACACTCGTACTTAGCCAGGTGCGTGCAATATGTGTCTGATACGATGACAGGTTTTGCTCAAAACTATGTTGACATAGTAATATGGGCAGCTGCAAAACTTGCTTATAATATTCGCTTCAAAAGATGTTACTTTTTTAATACAGAGCTTAAATGTTGGCAAGAAACTTTCATTATTGTCTTGGATTTTAAAATGGTCAAATTATTGTAAACGACCAAAGAACCAGAAACATAAAAGTCACCAATTCTGTAGTATAAAAATCTATTCAAAGCTTCAATCTAGGGCCTTATTTAAATATATATTATGGAAATATAACAAATTTCTGATAGCGTACATTAAAAGTATGAAAATGGTTGTACTACAAATATGCCGGCAAACAGAACATGTATAACAACCATATCCATTGATATGGTTGTTATAATAAAAAATTAATCAATACAAACCGGTTGCAATTAGAACTTAAACACATACTATGACGCATATTTATCATCTCATAAAGTGATAATTATAAAACAATGACGCTTTTAATATCAGCTATAGGGTTTTACAATGTAATCACATCACTGTTCAGCTTGATTGTTCTGTATTTGACTCTATGATACTATTAATAAACCACTGATAAAACAGACACATAGCGCCTTCTAGTCCCAAGCTAAGCTGAGCTTGTGTCATGTTTACTAGACAATAGATAGAAATAGCAGAATATATTTTTTTAAATTTATACACAAACACGTAGAAAATACCTATATCGATACAATCAATTATAGGTACTAAAGAAAATATATTTTTGTATCCTGAGAATATTTGAATTGAAATTATTAGTAAAGCGGTGTGCTAAACCGATAGACTACGGAGGCCGTCACATACGAATACACTAGAAATGTACACAAGAATATGTTATTGTATATGTGACAGTACAGTGTCTATCTGAAAAATCTTAAAAAAATAATATGTAACCTATTATATTAGTGTTTATATCAAAATTAAATTTGTCTATTCTAAGAAGAGTGAACTGAAATAATAGAGAAATACATTACATTAGCACATTACTTTTGATTAAGAAAGTTTAGTAGTATGTCTAGAAAATAAAATCTAGAAAACTTGAGATTAATCAAATTTGAATGACTTTTTATTGGATAGGTTATACTTTAAAGGTTTAAACCTTTAAAGTATAACCTATAGACAAAATTAATTCAACAAATATTTTACAACCCATAAATATTTACTTTCCATTTTTTTAACACTTAGGTATGCAAGCATTTTATTAAATGCAAAGGAAACTGATTTCAAATTACCTACAACAATATCATAATAGTTACCTGGACGACATTAGTTTGCTTGCTAATGCGGCAATTCTTTTTTAAAATTACCAAATTGCTATAAGTCAATAATTTAGTCCTGATCATGAAAGTTTATTACCAAGACAAATATTACTGATTAATTATAAAAATCGCAAAAGCAAACCAGCAACAATTATAGACGTCATTAAATACGTTCTTGGATCTTTAATTATAATAATGTTTATAAAATGAAAATAAAAAATATTATGATTGGTCTGAAATAGGTATATATATGACTAAATGAGTGTGCCCTGTTCATGGAACGTATTAATGAAGTGACTTAGAAGTGCCTTCACTTTAAATTGCAACGAATAGACCATTGATGCACTGCACTTAAATTCCACTGTCGCAGATTAATTTATATTAATATATATTTTTGTATTGTTTTTAATATATTATATTTAAACTCGGCGATATTCCAAAAGAATAGTAATTTTCAATTTTCTATACGTATTAAACACACAGTTTAGGATTTGATCCCCTATCTTTCAAGCTTTCAGATTACCTGCTAATCCTAGTAGTATCTAGTATTGTACTTTTATCCATGAAAGTTATTATTATAATTTGTATTGTAATTTGGTTTCAGGTGGTTACAGACCTAGTGCAGGGCGAGTTCATGCAGCTCGGTAGCAAGGAGACTGAAAACGAGCGGTTTGCGCACTACCTCACAAAGACCTACAGGAAAACAGCATCACTCATAGCCAATTCTGTTAAAGCGGTAATTGCATATATTTCTTACCCAAGTACAAGATAATTCATTTGTTGACAATATCTGTGATCTACGCTAGTGACATAGGATTAATGTAGCCAGTAAATTCCGTAATCGAACAAGAAATGAAATATCGAGCCAATCCCAATGTACTATTTATTAGCTAGCTAACATAAATAAATACTCTATCTTCGCGAGATATCAACAATTGGCAGAGTAATAAGTAATAAACTAGTTTCGCTGTTTTCTTCATTAGTGAACTTTCATAAATAAATACATCACTTAATAGTAACTTTGTGAACAAAAGGCCAATAGACCTTGTGGTGTTATTTGCGGGCTCATAATATTTTGTAATCTATTGTGTTAAAAATATATGGTAAATTCTAAATTGCAAAAGTACAGTAACATCTTAATATTCAGACACGACATGCTGTCCTTGTCTGTTTATTTAATTCGCGTCAATATTACCTATCTATGATCAGTTAATAAATACTTCTTGAAGGACATTGTTTGCACAGATATTCTATCGGTGTAATGTTTTAGAAAACTTAAGGAAGAAATTAAAACACACATGTATAAAATGAAAACGTAACAGATTGAAGGACTGTTTACGGCTTTGATGTTGATCATAAAACCAATGACAATGCAAAATAAAAATTTATAAAAAAGCGAAATGGCAAACCAAAGGAGCAAGAGTTATATTAAAAGAAACAAAATAAATAACGATTGTAAATATTAAGCACTTTTGTTAATGAACATAGTTATGTTTTCTTATTTCTGTGAATGTTCTAGTTTCAATAATATTATTGTAATGCTTACTAAATAGTATACGCAACGCGAGGGCGCAACTGACATGCAATGTGAAATCGTTTACTTCAAAGACCGCAGATATATGCCTACACAATTCATGTAATTGCTTCAATTTGCACAGTCTACTAAAGTCGGCATCGTTACGGACTTATTGAAACAATGTATCGAACAAGGATACTTGAAACTAATACTTACATACAAATTTGCAATACCGACTTGTAACAGAAGCTCTGTAGTTAAAAGTTAATTATGCATTAAAATACATTAAAATAATAAAAAAAACATACACACGCTACCGTATTTTACACATACGTATATATACTCTTTTGTTTTTTTGTTAAATTAAAAATATGTTAATAATACTAGTTGTACCCGCGACTTCGTTCGCGTAAAATAGTGGCCTTGACCAAATAATGAGAAAATATTTTGTAATCTCAAAAATGAAAATTACCGTACAGAATTCTATATACCTCAATTAACAGCCAAAAAAATAAGTTTCAAGCTTCTACCTTTGAAAGTGCTGATACTTCCATACAATCTTTCATCTTGCTTTCAATCCCTTACAACTTTATTTCTATTTATATTTAAGCAATAGCCTAAAAAATAACTCAAGCTACTACCTTTAACTATACACCCTTTCCCTCTCCCCTTGCACTTGCAATTGGCATCAATAAAAGTGTAGAGCAAATGTTTATATATTTTAATTTTTAAGGAGACAATAGATTGACAATGGTTAGTTGCGCGCAACTTCGCATGCGTCCTGCCATTACAAATGACGTATACAACGCGTTTACATGTATTCAACCGCATATGATAACTTTGTATCTCCACTTTCAACCCCTTACAACCTTTATTTTGCATTAAAAAGTATGTCTATGTCCTTCCTCGAAGTCCATCTGGGCTATCTGGGTACCAAATTTCATTTAAATTGGTTTAGTAGTTTTGGCGTGAAAGCGCAACAGACAGACAGAGTTACGTTTGCATATATAATATTAGTAAGGATTTATCTATAGGCTTACGGAATGTTAAATTAATTATGGTCGAATTTCGACTATTGGGAATGTAGTGACTACTAGACTCAAATAATTTTTCATAAAGTAAGGCTACAAATGTCATAGTAAAGTTTGTATCTCTATATTTGGATATATTGATAAACTGGAATAAATTATTTTGGTTAAATCTTTTATTTATTGAAGAAATAAATGAATAAAAAAAGGTTTTCTGCAATCTAATTTTATTGAAAAATTGTGTTAGGTACGAAACATAATACTCATTGTTGTGGTCCCTTCGTCGTATTTAGAGCATTCAATGTTGAAAATGATAATTATCCATTTTACTCAAACTATACATTTTTTCTATTTTTGGTAGGTTTTAAAAGGGTTATATAAGGTTTAATATCACGAAGATTAGACGTATTAATAAAAATACATAGTACATTGATAAATAGAATATTGGAACTGTATTTTAGTTTGATATTATTGTCGACAATATGTAAATATTTATATATACAGTACCGATGTGCCAAAAGAATATTTTATTTACTTTAAAAAAATATTTAAGTACTTCTATTAGTTATATAGTACTTTGAGTAAAGTAGGTCTACTTAGTGTTGGGATTCTATGACGCTATCTATCCTCTGGGTCATCATCGATATTTAAAGCAATGTCTGTTACCAACAGGTGGCCTTACTCAGTGGCGCGGATGAGAGTACAAGCGAGCTGGCGTTCCAATACGGACGCAACCTTGGGCTATCGTTCCAGCTGGTGGATGACTTGCTGGACTTCGTATCATCGGCGCAAGCGATGGGCAAACCAACAGCCGCTGACCTCAAACTCGGACTGGCCACAGCGCCTGTACTCTTTGCCTGCGAAAAGGTAAACATATATTTTTTTATATTTGTGTTATTAGTTGGATGTTCGTAGCGCTCTTCATGTATATAGGCCGTCAGCTCGTTTGCCACCATAACAGTAAAAAAAGACTAAAATCTTCTGTTGTTCTGTGACGACATGTAACAATAACGGAGGTATAACATGAAAAGGCTTTTTTTACGTGTAGATAAATATTTAAAAGGCCGTACTTCCGCCAGAGCGGCGATGAGGGATTCTTATCCACTAAAAAACGACACTGTGTATCTATTAACGCCATTACCATAGACGCGACGCTTTAACGCGACTCCAGTGGTCGCAAAAAACTTAATTCTTTTTGCAATTAAAAGACATTAACCCAATTGTACATTGCATATGAAAAATGACAAATAAAATAACACCATGAAGAAATTAAATAGTCATTCTTTTTTAAACGACTTTATTTCAGCTCAAAAAAATTTAGCTTGAACTTTTATTTTGCTTTTTCCTTACGAGCTCGTGTATTTTGTTGTTTTCTTAAGAGCTTTACTTGTTCGCAACTACGTACTAATTAAACTGGTTATAAAATAATTCCTTTAGAATTAACGTGCCATATTGTTATAAGATATTCACAAATATCTTAATAAGAAGTAATTAATTGACTTAGCAATAGCTAAGCAATTAAGCATACTTAGTAAATGTTTGTATATAAATATATAATTGTATGTGTATTTGTAAGTATGTATGTATGTAAGTGTATGTAGTTATATTTATATATGTATAATTATTTATTAATATTATGTATTATAGTATATTCGCATATGATTCGCGTAAAATCATATTAAAGTTATCTTCTTATTATTATTTTTTAGATTACAAATTCAAATTTTGTTAATGCACCGCCTACATGAATCTCTGTTTGCTCATTGGTTGATTGGGAGAAAATGCCTCAAGGTGTTACGTCCGCCATGTGCTCCTTTATTTATGTATTTGTGCATTAAAGTTTTAATAAATAAAAAAATATATATATACATACAAACATTTACAAAGTATGCTGGTACATCTCTTATTATATTTCTTTTTATTTTGTAATGTTGTGACTTAATAATATTGCACTACAAGATTATTAGTATTAGACTCTTCACCCCTTATTAACATAACGGCTTTCTATGTAAATAAAAGATAAGGATAAAGTAGTGTTTATTGTAAAAATAACATAAAATTACGTATACTGCAAGAGGTGGCCATATTCCATCAAGGCCGCTTCCTTCAATAAAACTTTGTTAAACGAAGAAATACTAATAGGTGTTGCGCTTGTTTGTACAGTACCCAGAGCTAAATCCAATGATAATGAGGCGGTTCCAAGAGGCGGGCGACGTGGAGAAGGCGTTTGAGTTGGTGCACAAGTCCCGCGGCTTGGAGCAGACACGCTTCCTGGCACGCAAACACGGTGCGGAGGCGGCGCGCCTGGCCGCCGAGCTCGCTGACTCGCCCTACCAGAAGGGGCTCGTCATCACCGCCGACCTCGTGCTCAATAGGATTAAATAGCACCCCACCTCCCAAACACTAGATAATGTATTCTAAGTATTCGCGGTTCGAGTGCGATACCTATTACGGTTCGTACTTCGGACCCACGTTTTCAAAGTAGTTTTTGGACTACACTCGACTACTCCTAAGAGTACTTTGAAAATATTAGTACCTGTCTTGTGTACCCTTTAGCATAGTCTAAAGGTTTAGAGACACTACAGTTTAGTTGCCTTCGAGGTGAAGGCTGTACGTGAGAGACGTTGTAGTTGTAAATGAGTATGTAGCGGTCGGGCGGCCGGGCTGGTGCGGCAGTGCGGACGATGGTGCCTCGACCTTCATACATGACGAGATATTATCATAAATATTTTACGTCAACTTATATACCATGTGCCCTGATAAATATATGCATTATATTCCATATACATATAGTATTGTATGTAGTTTTATTATGATATAATCAGTCAGACTGACCTATTGTTGACGTCGCTCACGCGACATATTAAAAATTATATTACATATAGCATTATGTATAGTAATTTATACAATTGATATTTGTACTTTTCTTTTTATGTATCCCTCACTTTTGTGACCTGATTTATTTTAAGATTTTCTATGACAGTACTTTAAATACCGTGTGCTATCTGCTATTATTATAACCAGGCTTTCTAGCTGGTGAGCGTGTGTGACAACTCGTTACCAAATACCGCTGTACATAAATGTACAATAGGCTCAATTGTTATATATATTTATATATATAACAATTGAGTGTATAAATATATATAACACTGATGTGTAAGCTGTTCATCATCACAATGTATATAAAGAGTATGACAATGCTTCTATATCTTCGTTCCTTTATGTTTGTATTGTGCAATTTTATAAGTCTAGTGTTAGAAGTACCTGTGTTCAGTGCACAAAGTATTCATCAATTATTCAAATTAGTATTCATAACAAATTGTAACAGTATAGATATCTCCTGCTCGAGTTCGGCTGTTCGTTGTTATACGTGTAAATACTGGAGTCATTGGATAAGTTACCCGAGTTTTATTTTCAAAACCAATTACCTCAATTTCTTTAGTGTACACATACTAGTGGTGTTTATGCTCTGTTATAGAATTAAATTGTAGGTTTTATTAGGCCGCACAATATTTTAGGAAAAAATTGGTAAAGCCGTTAGAAGTTATAATAAAGGATGATATTAGTTAAATTTATATTTAGTATTTGTAAATAATACAATCGAATTTTTCAGTGTTACTGACAAAAAAAAAATATTGAGGTGTGGTAGGATACCTAACGTGCACCAATAGCGCAGTATTTTAATACTTTTTCTTAAAGTTCTATTTCTAAATAAAATATTAGTCACTAATAAGGTAACATAGTATAAAGCTGGCATAATGACTGGCACCAAATATTCGTGGTTTTGGTCTTATGAAACTACGAGGAAATTCAATAGTATAAAAGATGGCGTAGTATTCACTCTTGTAGTTTTATGAAACTGAATTTATAATTTTTTAACACCAAATATCGTTAATCTATGGACGAAATTTTAGTATAATATACCCTAAACGTGATTGTGTCAGCTTAAATGAATTGGAGTAGTATGTTTTTGTACATTAAATGTTAAAGAAAATGGGAGTCAATGAATTTTATTTATATATGTGTAGCCTTGTACGTAGTCCGTATCATTTGTAAATATTGTACTCTGTAAAATGCTAAATCATGAATAATTTTTAATATAAATATTAGTTACAAAATATTGTTTTATTTAATTTCGGCATTCTGGCTGCCACATTCTCTATTGTTTTAATATGGTGGATTCCTTAATTCATTCAATGTACTAAAATGTTAAATCTTTATACAATTAGGACTATAAACACATACAACGATAAATTTTGTATAGAAATAAATTTATACTAAAAAATATATATTTTTGATTAACTATTATGACAATTTTGTTAGTTTACAGGGTCTATGAGATCCTCAATACATACTACTGTTGTACATACAAAATATTGTTTTTACAATTAAAGTTAATCCACTAAAATCCGAAAAAATATACTTCAGAATCGTGAGTATATATTTATTCAGATTATATTATTCCTAGAGTGGTACTATCAAACTACCTACTTTCCTAAAGCGCTTAAAAAGACGATTTGAAAGTTTTGATATTAAGAAATGACAGGAAGATAGATAAGGACAATAATAGCGCACGAAAACATTAAACGCCAGACTGGATTATGTGTGACGTTTACCATAAATTGTAGACTACGCATATGTTCTTAAGTTGTAGACAATAGTTAAGTTTCAGTTTGAAACATATCTATTTTCTAGACTTTAAGTTTTCATTTAGTCTAGTCTGGTCTGGGTCTCAATCATTTTAATATTAAACATAAGAGTGGATATTGGACGCTACTTGCTCGCAATATGACCCTATCCAATACATGTTTTTGCGCTGCATTTTTGTATTGTATCATTTTTGTTCAGTTAATGTTACTTTACCTATAATGGTAAGTCTCTAAAAAAACTTGTAAATGGACACCCTTTAGGTGATTTACGTACTTACTGGATATATCCGTATATCATAAAGTCAATAGACAACAGCTGATGGAATAAAACTTCCGTATTCCGAATGTATTATCGATTTGACACAGTTACCCATTTCTATATTGTACGTACCTAGTGCAGAGCCCTATATCTACAGAACTTCATATTTAATATTGGCGGATCAATGTTTGCTATACCTACTTTTAGAATAAAGGTTTCGTATATTTATGATGTAATCTGGTATGTTGTAGTCAGTAGGTAATAGCATATTATGTTATCTGTGGTAATAGCATGTAATTTGTAATATAGTTAAAGACACTGAAGTTTCTGTATTCGCCGAGCCCAATTAGTCAATCAGTGATTTAAAGTATGTTATACTCTCATGTTTCATAGCGATTCGATTAATTATTCGTATTTTTAAATATATTTTTTCTAGCTCCGTCCTTAGATATATCACGGGCGACGAGCTAAACTTCAATAGAAAATGTTAGTAACAAACAAAAAACAAACAAGAGATATGTGATAATAAGATAATATTAAATGATAACTAATAAACTTAAAACCTACGGCAATTGACTGTTATTGACAGCACTCGACTAACCTGGATATATAATATCTTATACCTATATATATAAAATTCTCATGTCACAGTTTTCGTTCCCATACTCCTCCGAAACGGCTTGACCGATTCTCATGAAATTTTGTGAGCGTATTGAGTAGGTCTGAGAATCGGCCAACATCTATTTTTCATTCCCCTAAATGTTAGGGGTAGTCCACCCCTAAATTTTTTTTCTATTTTACGGCAAAACAACGTTTGCCGGGACAGCTAGTATCTATATAAAATTTTCGTGTCACAATGTTAGTTACAATACTCCTACGAAACGGCTTGACCGATTTTTATGAAATTTTATATGCATATTCACTAGGTCTGAGAATCAGTTACTATCTATTTTTCATACCCCTAAGTGATAAGGGTAGTCCACCCCTAACATGTTTTTTTTTTACTTTTTTGGACAATATTTTTTATATTTTTATAATGTATAAAATTCTCGTGTATAATGTTAGTTACCATACTCCTCCGAAACGGCTTGATCGATGTTGTATGAAATTTTATATGCATATTCAGCAGGTTTGAGTATTGGCTACTGTCTATTTTTCAGGGGTATGATAAGAGTTGTCACCCATAATTGTATTTTTAATTTTTAGGATATTTTTTATGTCGTATTAAAAAATACATACAACCCTAAATTTTCACCCTTCTATCACTAACTCCTATTTTTGATTAGCGATTTTAATTTATATGGCAAAACAACGTATGTGGGGTCAGCTAGTAGTTTATAAATTTTAGCGTATTCGAAGAATGCCTGCAAATATAGCACGTGTCTGTGCGAACTGTCTTCGTAGAATAAGACCTGGTGTGTAGACGATCCACGAGAACATAGATGCGCTATTTTGATGCGAAAGCAAACGTGACCTATTTCCATTGAAACAATTTACTTTTCTTAGTATGTGTATGAATGCAATAGGAGTTTATCCTGCGTGTTTAACTTGTTTGCGACGATCGATCGCCCGCGCCCGGCACCGCCAGTACGAATCGAATGCCAACTGAAAAATGACTGGTACATAACAAGTATGTTTATGTAAAAGTATGAACAGTTGCAACGTTATTGTTAGTAGTTAATATTATTAACTAATTAATTGTTTAGTCAAGTAGTTCCTTTATATTTTTATAACAATGACATTTTTACCGACATTTTGTATGTGAAAAACATACGATCCAAGATCTGATTTAACACAATCTAATTCAGCCCATATAAGTTCCATAATGCGTCTATGATCTATAAAGTGATATAACAGAATCACAAATCCTTTGCATTTAGATTTTTCTTTTTATTAATCGTCCTCCTATTCAACAGTACCTAACAATATGTACCTTAGAATACAGAGAACTGAATAATTCCCACGGGAACGGCTTCGCGACAAGAAGGCGCTAAATTAGCTAATAAAAAAAGAATTATGCCATTACTACGTACCACCAAATATTTTAATCAGCAATAACACAATAACAATATTATACATATATAGATATTTACCTACCAAGCTTTTATTTTTTTTGATGATAGAATTTTGTTTTATATCGGCCAGATTTCATTGTGAGATATACCTACATTTTATAGCGAGGTATAAGTCAATTAATATTGCTTACTGTACTTTCTAAAGTCCGTTTTCACTATGAGTTGCCTATATACTTTTATAGCTAATAGTGAAATTACAAAGTACGGCGACTGTTATTACTTATTTTTATATAACAGTTATTTATAAAAAAAATCATAATTGTCATTATTTTAGCCAGTAGGTATCTACACAGCCCACTTTCTTTAGGAGTAAGTACAAAATACACCCAAAGACAAAGAATTATTCCGAACTATCTACATTCAATGTATCTACAACTCTCTGCATTACATTTAGATCTATGTATATGTAGATAGAAAAACATAGCACACAAATTTACATAGAACCCTGACCCCATTCTCGCTACGGGACCACTCTCTAGATATGCAAATTTGCGAATATGCGAATAAGCAAAGCTTTCTTTATAATATCGATTAACGATAAAATACGCTCGACCTTTTTGTTAGATTTTTATTAGCGTGCAATATTGACATTTATGTAATTTTTATTGTTACTTGAGTAATTTTCTAAATATTGTGATAATTTATGATAATTGCTACCTACTTTCAGTATTTTGTATATAGGTTTAGATTAATCTAGTATACCTATTCTTATATATAATATATATCGGCTATAGAGCATTAGGACACTATTAATAGTTGAATTCAATAATTTTGTCATAGTGACGTTATTATAACAGCGTCAAATATTTTTATATACCTACCAAGACCAGGCACTGTACAGTGTTCACATCATATTGCTTGGGATTGCACTTTAATCTGTACGCAAATCAAACATCTAGTTAAACTCTATTTGCCTTTATATTACAACAGTGTAGATACTAAATTGATTGTAAACACCGAACAGAATTTAGTAGGAGTCATTTAGGCATATGTATATAGGCAAAAGAGCCAATATTTAGCTGTTTGTTTATTTACTCTGTATACCTTTAAACACAAATAATTCGTATTGAATAAAAAATCATTAGTTTTATAAATATATATCTTAATAAAAAAAACTAATATGATATATTCGTACTTTTTGAAATCGGTTAGAAAAGGCATTAGTAAAAAAGTCAATAACACAAAAGTTATAACAATTGGGCAAGTCTGTGACCTGCTTTACGGTTATTTATCCTTAGCTTACCTATTCACTCCGCGCCTACTAACATTTTTAATTCTACAATGGACTATGATTTGACACGTTTCTAAGTATCGAATATTTGATAGAAAAAAGTTCAGAAGTAGTTAAGCCGTGTTAGAGTAAAAGTGCCTTGATGTACACATATTTGCAAGAGTAATTAGTATTAGTTTATTAGGTGTAATTTTAATTATATAGTAATTAAACAGGTTTTTAAATTGATTTTACAATACTTTTTCAGTAAGTAATAGTATCTATTACTTTCACCTAATTAAAATATTAATTTATCTACGGCCTTAAAGTAGAAGCCTCTATGATAAGTGCAGCACCTTTAAATTCATGAATTACTAATAGGTATATGTAGTAGTTCAGTAAGTACCTATCGACTATACTAAAATGCAAGTTTCCATTGTTAAATGGACTTGTAATATTTATATGTACAAAATGATGTTTAAATTTATACTCAGTGCAAAGAAGTTCATGGTTCACCTTACCATCACCTATGGCGAGAATAGTATCGTGGCGATACCCCATGATTCCTAAATTTAAGATAAAATCCAATGTACAGTTTCACTGCTATATATCATTTTTCTAAGCTGCAGCAATGAACATTGTAGGCTTTTATTTTTATTAGGCTGACGATAGCATAAGTATATAAATCAAATTTAGTTTAAAAATACTGTAACTACATCATAAATGACTTATTTATACTGTATCATTAAGCTACTTATTTTTAAGAAATTTGGAAGATTTATATAAAATATAGATATTAGTATAGTTTTGTTAATAACACAACTATATATAAGGCATAATATTTGTTTTAGTATTACAGTGTTGTATTCATGTTTAAATAAATTAATAATGTATAAATAAAACTATTTTATAGACCTTATTATATATTATATTAGCATCACACCATAGAAGTCTATAAAAAATAAAATATTGTAAAAAACATAGTCAGCAACTTCTTTTTTAATATTTTTTAATACGATAATTTTTGTATCGTATCGTATATATATTTGGAAACGTTACACGAAGCGTGCCAGCTAAGTATTTTCAGCTGTGGGTCGTTTCAGGAATTCGCAGTTGTCGTCAAACAGTCGTAGTCACTGCAGGATGAAACTACACAATGATTTGTTTTAGTGTTTGCACGCTTCCTATGTTAATTATACGAATATGTTACGTAATTACCGGTTTTGTGATAGCAAGTTCTTTGTTAGGTTAAGTGAAATTGTAGTTTAAATGTTTACACTCCACTCACAGCGTTTACGTAGGTAAGATTTGGATTTTATGACAAAATTAAAATATAAACGTGAGTAATTATTGTACTACACAATAGTTAGAATTAAAACTATGGCTACCGATATTCTTTATAATGAATACGAATAACTAAATTAATTAAAAATATATACTGTGGGCACACGTTATACAAGCTGGGATAAACAAAGGAATTATTATTTGTCCATGTAGTGAGACTTGATATACCATCATTTCAGACGGTATATTAGAATCCAGCATGTGAGGAATATTTCGAAATGCCCAAAATAATTTCGAGAGACAGCATTAGGATTGCCCGACCTAACGCTATCTCTCAGAAATATTTTGGTTTCTTTTCGGTATTTCTTTCATCGTCGAAAACATATATTGTAATGCCGAAATGTTAATTGTAACACAATCTATTTATATTAAGATAATAATATGATAAATATTAATAAATAATTTATTTTTGATCCCTAATATTTGAGTTTGCGGTTATTTATGTTTATTAACAAAACTTATTTAAAATCTTCCTAGATAGACATTTTGATTGTATTGTAGGAGGTTAAGTGCTCCAACATCTGGCTCCGCTCGTCGGAGGGCCAGGGAGCGTCGCAGAGCGGAACAGACTCGCGAGGAGGGAGAGCGGTTGGCCCGAGAGCGACGGGAGCATAGAGCCAAGGAGAAACAAGAACAACAGCGTCAGGTATTTGTATCTACTGCTAATTATCCCAATGTGTTAAACACATCGCAAAATTATGTATTATAAAAATATTAATATTAAAAAATTAATTAAATATTATGAAAATATTAATTATGTATCAGTATATTTAGGCAACTATTGAGTAGTAACAAGAAGAATTATGACATATAACGTATGATTTGAGACGATCGTGAAATTACAGGATATTAATGATATGACAATATTATATCACGGACGTCACTAAAACATTTAGAGATATTTGTGCTTTTTTTCATGTCTGTGAATAGCAATTGTCACTTTCCATTCGCTGGGTCGTCAGCTAGTTTTATTCCACCTACATAAAAAGATAGGAAAAGTATGATATGTAGGTACTTAAATTAGGACATAAGGATTAATGGAAAAATTAGCAAATGAAACAAAAGTAAAATAACTCATATTAAAACACAGTCAGGATTGGACTGTGAATATAATATTTACTCATTTACACAGAGGTGTAAGTGGGTAAGTATATAGAGATATTGGTTAAGTTTGCCATCTACATGTAGATATGTATGTTATATTTACATATTTAATATGTAAATATTACACAATGCGAAAATATCTAACTTGTTGGAAATGACATAAACAGCCAATTGTGTATTTTCTGAACGCTGCATAGAAAGCTGTACAGGCACTTATGTTTGACGAACGTATGTTAACGACTGCAGGTAATAAAGATAGTATTTGAAATTTTGAATTCTAGGAATATGAATTAAAATATGCTTTTAACAAAGTTTATACGAACTCAACCCTTTTATAACGTGTGTGCTCGGATAATTTCATTACAGTAAATTGGACATCGTAATATTCTTTACACCAAATTAATTGTTACAAATAACCGTGTGACACATGCTTGAGTAGTTGGGTAAGTATTGTGACAAGCTTAAACAGCTTTTGTTTTAAGTTGTGAGGTTCGCATTTGATGGAGTAAGGAACATTTGAAAGACTTGTAGTCTTTACCGTGTCGTGTGCCTACTTTATATTGCTTTTGACACCTGACTAGAGATAGGCGGCCCATATGGACGCGTTGACATATGCGGACTTATCATCATGGTTTCATTATAAATATACTTACACCAAAAAGGTAGGGTCATGTCGGAATTGGTAATATACATATACTTTCAAAATTAAACTAACCCTTAAATACTTACAATCTAACAAGTAAAGTTACTAGTCTATACTCCCGGTCTACTAGTTACAGTCACGTCAACTCAAACACAACTTACATACAGGACATGTCGCTATGTAAGCTTTTTACTTTTTACAAAGTCAACTTCCGTTAAAATGAATTGGAATGCAAATAATAGCTCTAGCATGTAGTTGTCAATAGATAAGTATTGTTGATACTAAGGAATTTTCGTCTAGACTAAAATATACCGGCTGTATAGCATTCATTAATTTATAGCAGTAATGACGCCTACCAACCGCCTTCCGTTAGCAAGAAATATGGATATAACCGTTACAATTTCAAACTAGAATCTGTTAAATTCCAGTGTTGGAGCGTTGGTTTTTTAAAACTCGTAAGTCATAGAAAATTCTAAAAACTTTCCCACTTGTGGTACGTCGTAGCATTTATCATATCACTCTGTAGACTATTTTGCATGATCACTGGCCATAGACGAATGTTGGTGAGTTTGTTGGAATTGAACTTTTTTGGTTAGAGAAAAAATACAACGATATAGGACTAATTTCGTCAATCATTTTAGAAGGAAATTGGTCACAACCTGCTGCTAGCTCATGGCTCATAAGTAATTCCCACCTATGAGTCTAAGTTTAGCTCATTAACTTCTATGACAAGTGTCAATAAATCTAACCTCAACATCGTCGTTAGTAATGAACGTCTAATTTCAATTATATATTATATGTTTGATTATTTGTTGTTAGGCCCGTGAAGAACTGGCGTCGTACGAGCCCTGGGGCCGCGCTGGCGGCGGAGCGCCCAATGCACAAGGAGTGAGGTTTTCTGATATACGTGCAAGAGGAATTTATCCTGAAGATGAATTAAGGGTAACTCAATACAGACGATAGTAAAATAAAAAAGTGTCGTACGAAATATAGAAAGAAATACTATGATTTATATTAATAGTATGTATAAAAAACTTAAATTTTGGTTAACTGTGTAAAAATATATAATAGTAGTAAAAATTAGTAGTAAAATAAATGTTTCTTGTCCATATCAGTATAATGAAATTTTTTAAGACGATGAAATAAATCTATATAAGGTGTAGGTTCAATCTTATTACCAACCAATAAGTAGGACTGCAGCAAAGGAATGACGCAATGAAGACGAACGTGTGAATAACTGGCCTTTGCCTCATAAAGAATATGAAATTTGTTGACACACATTACAAATTTTATGGCTTTTTTCCGAAGACGAAAGCTTTTAGCTTGCATTGTGATGTTTAATCTTCATATTACATAAAAATAATGTGTAGAGTGGTCCGGCACCAATGCAATAAGCGTTTTCTCGATTTATCCATATACATATAAACAACTTTAAGTTTTTAAACCTACGAAATACGTCAAAGTGTTTTTGCTCTACTGATCAACTGTATAAAATTGAATAGAGTAATGATGTATTTCAACAACTTTTAAGTAATTGTAAACATTGCTTAATTTAAATCAAATAGACAGACAACAATTGCAAATATTGTATTGCCTTCTGTTAAAGTTAAATAATCTACTTGTCGTATACTTACAAAATGTTTATTATAGTTTCACACATAAACTAATATAATACATTGTAATTATTGCATGAAATATGAACTTGAATATGCATGTTTCTAAGTGTAAATAAATATTTCATTAATTAAATATAATTAAAATATTTAAATATAATTTTAGTAATAATTATCTAGTTATAATAAAACATAAGTATGTACCACAAAAACATTAAGTGTATGCATAATGAGATATAGTGCAACAATTGCAATGGTCAATACATTCGTACATTTTTTTTGCACAAATATAAAAATAGCGGTCATAATATACTTGAAGAATTCTATACTCTACGGTGGATCTCCTGGCATAAATCGCAATGGTTACTTTGCTTGCTATAATACTTTTTATTTTATAAATACTAACATAGATGTATTATTTGTTTTTACTATATATTATGAAATATTTGCGACTTCTTCTTCATTTTTAAATAATGAAAATAGCCTATATCCCTCCTTGTGATTTAATCTGTTTTTCCATCAAATTTCATTCAGTAGTGTAATTGTGAATACTTAAACGACAAACAGACAAATTTGCTGTGCAGGGTGTATCTCAGTTTGAACCTTGCCACCGGTGGCCGTCCACTCCGCGCCGACAACAACGGCGCACACCGCTGCGCCTGCGTGAAGATCCGCAGTTATGCTTTGCGGACAATTTGCGCCGAAGTGTTGATAACGACATTCGATACAAACAAACTCCTGATCAACATCAGATTTACAAACAGGCTTTAGGTCAGAATTTTTATAAATACATCCTTTTGTTATATAATTTAGTTTGTCTAGAGGGAGATAATCTATCCGCTTTTCTTCTATAAAACATAATCAATAAACGAAAAGACCACTTTTTAAATAAGTAAGTATGTATTATGACATATATTATCGCGAAGTACAAAGTAAATGTTGTTATTTCAGATGATATGGTTAATAAAAGAAAAAAAGCTGTAAAAGACGAAATAACAAAAAATTTGGAATACGAGCGCAAAATGGTAAGAAATATTTTATGTATTACAATTTCAGAAGCCTAATTTAGTATAACAAATAAAATATAATTTAAGATTTTGATGAAGGTTTATAGTTTTGAAATATACACCTACATTTATTCAAATTTTTTTTTACTTCTTCAATACTCCCAAACATTAAAATTCCAGCATAACATGGAGGGACCATGGGGTAGACCAGGTCCTGGCGGAACCACTTGGAGAAACCCCCGTGATGTTGGATTAAATTTCACCAAGTCTATGGTATATTGTAAAAATAAAGTACAACATCACAGAGAGTTAGATATTATAAATTTTATTTGTGTTACAGGGTTGGACAGATAATGAAGTTTTCAATAAAATGACGGGGGATCATAAGCGCTATAAAAGTTCTTCGCTTACTTTACCTCAAGTAAAGAGAGATGATGATTTAAAAGAGAACAATCCATCAGAAACTGAAAATATTAAATCTTCAAGCGTAGATAAATTGCCCGATATAAACCACACGAATAATGCAAATGGACAAACTAAAGAAGTGAAGGAAAAGAAAAGCGACAACGCATTAACAAAAGTTAATGGTTCGACTGGAAAATCGACTAATGGCAATCACAAAGGAAAGCGAAGTCCGACAAAAAAAATAGTCAAAAGGTTATCTAATGGTGATAGAGTAGTACGGAGCGTGCCTGCGGAAGATGTTGAAACCAAACCCACTAAAAATGCTGAATCTATTCATATATTAGAGAAAAAACCAACTCCTGAAGAGACTATTTTGAAATTAACGGGTGGAATAGAACTGGTACCACTTTTTGCAAGAAGGAGGAGAGTTGGTGCTCGCACTCTACCCTCTAGTGACGTAACGCGACCACCCGAGCAATACTGTCAGTACGTATTTATCTGTATTTTAAATAACTCGTAATACGTTATTATATCAATTTTTTTTTGTAATTGTATTAACATAACAAACAATATCTTCTGTAAAAATTCACACCTAACTGCTAGAGCGATGTACAGACTTCATCAGTTTCACAAGAAGTTTTCCATTACTTATGTAACAATAATATATACATGTGTGAATTGTATTGTGTGTAGTGCACTATTACCAAGGTGACTTAAAGAATAATAGTCTTTTAATTTCAAAAGGTCATGACAACTGACCCTTTTTTAGAAAAGAATTAAATATACAGTGACAATAAATAATATTAAGTATCATTATACCACAATGTGTTTTTTAGAAACAACAATCCAGTAGAGGTCAAGAATCTTATGAATCGACAATCTCAGCAAGAGTTATATTACTTTAATCTGTTATGAATAATGTCAACAGGTTAATTTTAAAGACTTCAATTTCTAATTTTGTATCTACTTAGTTAATTACATCAAGCGTAAAAAATACTTGTATTTCTGAGACAAATGTTAAATATACCTACAGTTGATATGCTTTTTATTTCCGTTAACTTTATACAAGAATCTTTATAAATAATTGTACTTAACCTCTAAAAAACATTCATACATCTTAATCTTTATGACTAAGTATTCAATTATGATATAGATATTGAGAATAAAAAACTGGATTAAAAAGAAATAATTTTTATAATATCTAGTTAAAATGACTCTTAAAAAGGAATTATCTAATAATGATCATGATATGTGAAAGAAACTCCGGTTATCGACACTGTTCTGTTGGCCACGTTCCACCGTCATCGAAGCCTCTGTTGCATCATCGCTTTCTATCGGCAGTGCCATATGACATGAAGATTTACGCGTTTCATTAGCCCCATAACAACTGTCTGACAAAACGGGTGTTAATGTTCATTGATAATAATCGTTTGATCTAAGTAGATAAATAACTTGACACGTTACTGTTTACGTGATAAGTAGGCTTGTAATTGATTGCATACATTATAGACCACCCGGAACCATCGCGACTTTACAGAAATGATTTAATCTATGTTTCTGGCTACATCTCACTGTGGGGTAACCTATTGTTATACACCCTTTTGGTAATTTTGTTGCAATTCTTGAATTATAATATTAATTAACGTAACCACCTATTCTATTACTTCATACACATATGTAACATATTCTTATTTCAGTTTCCATTTGCAGATGGCGTGAAATGTTAAATGTTGACTATTTAAGAGAATTAAAACATCAGATACGCGTGAAATGTGAACAGAAAAAGGTGAGAGCTCGAATTAAGATGTTACCAATTTCATAATACGTTGATGTAATGATCGATAAATAACGATCACGATCATTTAGAAAGGTCAAATACAGTAAAATATCTTTAGTCAATAGTTAATTAGGTACTTACTTGTTTGCCGATGAAAGAAACTACTATACAAGTACGTCGTTATATCTTTAAAAAGAATTGAAGACTTATTTTGACGACCTACCCATATTATACACAATGCCTATGAACAATCTTCTAGTAGTCAAGGAGAGAAACATGTTGGTAAACAACAATATTCATTTAAAATACTGCTCACTTACTATCATATTTGCTATAAGTTCACTTCCACTTTATGAGCACATAAGGATTACCTAAGATATTACATATTTTTTATCTGAATATTTGTGTGTCTTTAATACATCATAACATTAAATGTTATAACTGTTTGTCTACGTCATGCGTACTAGGTTCCTGTAAAGTTCCTCAACCAGTGATTTCTTTATTTTTAATATTAATTCAATTTAAATTCACAGCTAGCATTAACAAACTATATAAAGTTATCATTATCTGAATCATAACTTAATAAACAAACTCGTTGAAGAGATATGCAAATGGAATATAATAATGAAATACATATGAAAGAAATGTCATGTAGAATTATATTTTATTATTAAAAGAAAATAGTAATAGAATTATTGAAATAATTACTTACATGTACGCTATACTTGTGTCGCAGGAGAGCCGTCTCGATTCAGCCGAGAGTGTTAGAAGGCACCATGAAACCTGGGCTTCGTTATGGGGAAGACCTGGCCACGGTGCCCCCCAACGCGGACGTTATGCGAGAAGTAATCTTGCTCAATTACTCTATGTCACACCTGTGACCAATGGACATTAAAGGATTGTCTACATAGATACATTGTTGATTACGTTTAAAAATTTCATACCATAGTTTATTATTGTCAGTTCCTTCAGTTTCACTTGAATGAATGTTATGATATGAATATTTACTTATTAATAGAAAATCTACAGACACATAATTAAAAAAAAAAATTTCGACATTAATATGTATAATTTATTGTAGGTATGTATGGCTAACTGACAAAGGTAAATATACTAAAGTAATAAATAAATAATATTTATGTTATTAAATAATAAATGTTACAAATGAATAATTTTTATATTTAGGTATTTCAAAGTATGATTTATGTAGGTAAGTTGTACCGTACAATACAGTATTATAGATTGTCAACCATTAGAACAACTAAATAGTATCAAGGCACTTTTATTATAACAACGGCTAAAATAACAATATACCAATATTATAACTAAGTTAGTCTGTATCTGTTAAGTAGGACCATTATAGTGTATACAGCTTACATTAGTAAATAGTTAATATACAATGATAAATATACAATAAAATACTATATATACTGCGCTAAAAACAATGGTGCCAATTGTAAAAAAAAAATTAAGAAAAGATTGCTTGTTTCATCTGACATATTGTCTTGCCAGCCACTTGTAGGTAGAGTTGTCTTACCGATATCCAAAGGTTAGACGATGTTAGAATAAAAACAATATCTAACTGAAATAATATGAAAGGAATTTTCTAAAATATTGTAATATGGAAACTTCCATTCATAATATTTGATGTAACATATGATGTAGAAATGTTGTTGCATCAAAGATGCTTGAGTAATGTATTAAAAAGACCCAAAGTTAAGCAGTATGATTAAAATATGCAGTGTGCAATGTTATTAGAAAACGACTTTATTTTTCCTGGTTGTAATTTATTTAGAGCAATAAAAATTAAAACCACAAACTGTTAATTATTAAACGCAAAATAGGTGTGTTTGTGTAATGCAATTTCCACGATTTTAATTATGTTTCTAAAGTACTGTGTTTCAAAAATTACAGTAAAGTTGGAACTTTAAGGCAAGGCTATAAACCAGTGCAATTTTTACTTCTTCTCGAAAGGAGTTAGACTTAAAGCAGTTGTCAATTAATTAAGTATTTAGGATATCATTTGAACTCCCAATAGCTCTTCTCATCATGGTTATGAGTGTAGGGTAGGTAGGGATAGTAGTATATAACCTAGGTAATCAAATATATATTATTTACAGTATTTTTTGTTTAATTATTAAAAAACTTGAATCGAGCATTTGTAATATGTTGGTTGTTATTTATAGACTTTGAAATCTTTGAACCTTTATATTATCTAGTGATATAGAAATTTGTATCTTATTGAAAATATTCAACAATACATCTTTTTTATGTTATTAAAATGAAGTATTTTATATTACTGTGCTATTACTTCATATTTCTTAAGTTATAATTGTATAAAAATTAAATATTAAAATTTCAAAATTACAGCTATTTAATAGCTTTCTTATATAATGACTTTGTACATTATAACAAGATAAGATTTTTTTGTATACCATTTTACTAATATCACGAGCAGCCTCTATCTCAATATACACTATCCAAACAATGGTCACGAAATTTGTATTTCTAATAACACCAATAAATTTTGTGTGGGTAATGATTTCTCAAGACTGATTAGCGTCTATTAGATTAGATACATTATGGGCATTGTTATTAAATGTGTGGTTTGTCCGCAGTATTACCAGATCCATTTTTTCACAGACTACATGAAAAAATTATCAACTACATTAGTCGAGTTACTCGTTAACGAAACGTCTTCGAACTTAATAATAAACACAATTATTAAATTAATTAATAGTTATTAGTCCAATACTTCGGTCACCACTATCTTTTTCAATCTTTTTTATATAATGTATAATAATAATAGAACAAAAATCATTAGAAGACAGTGAGAACACAGATCAGAAAAAAATTAGATAGGTATATCATAATCATGTGTCAAAATTATTTAATTTCATGCGTTTACTATTCATTTACATATATATTTCAAGATAATATATAAATTGAGTGTTTGTCAGATTTATGTTAAATACGTTAGATCTCCTAGTATATTGGGGAAGTCGACAACACTGTTTGCCCGTGAACCTTAGCTACATAAATTTGGCTTGATTTATGTATTAAACATTGCATAATAGCTACATTCCGATATAAACCGCCTACCATATTATCATGGTTGTGTAATAGATGCATCTCTAAACGCATCGTATACGGCATTAGTACCGTTACTCAGAAATGTGGCTACATACCATGGTTAATCGAATGTCTTGACCTCTATACCTTGATTAAAAAAATACTACTAATATAGTAGTATTTTTTTAATCAAGGTATAGGAATATAAGATAAATGAGACTATCTATAATTTATTAGTGTTTTATTTAGCTGTAAATTTCCAAGAAAGTAAAATAATTCTAATGTCAATATGGTAACAATCGTTAACTTGACAAATGTTATTATTTCTTCTATTTATTTAGAATTTATGTAGATATATAGTTTTTGTTAGAATTACGTTGATTTTTCGAACGCAATCCAGTTGGCAATTATACATGTCTGGTTGTTCATAGAGAAATAAAGATTCTTTGATTGATATATTACTTGTTCATGTATAGCAGTATATTCTGTTAATACGAAATCGTATACTTTTCTTCATCGCGTTTAGTTTTACATATAATTATTTATATTAATATGTATATACAAAAACTAGTTGAAGTTGTATATATTTCTGGAAGTGGAATTGCAATGCAATATACATATGTAACTATTATTTCGCTTATACTGTAGCACCGGAGACCGTTTTTATTAATAGTTATCCATTATAGCAATTTACATTATTTATGATAAGTGACCACCACCGCAGCCGGGCAGCCGCAACCCTGGAGAAAATACAGACATGTTACTTTATTTTAAGATTATGTTGAAAATTGAATAAGCAAATTCATTGAAAAAGCATATGAATGGACACTACTGATATTTATTTAATAAAAAAAAATCAACATGTTGATTTTTTCACATTTTATCCTAATTAACACAGCTAAATGCATAATAGTCACAATAATATATGAAAAAGTACAAGTGTCTTTGTTTATTAATTTCAACTTGTTTGGATTTACTAATCGTTACATGGTTAGTTATTACCTATACCTACAGGTAAATATTACATAGTTAAGTGTTTTAAGTATAAGTAAACAGTACATTAACCGATCTCTAATTAAACTGAAGTCGTCAAGTTGAGACAGCGCGACGCGACGTGTCAGCTACTAGGCGGATGGTGAAATTGCTAAAATAAACAGAAAAGTGCGTATATGCAAATAAGAAGCGGGGAGAAAGCCTCTTATGACGAAATACAGATAAAACAGCAAGAACTGGTATTTTGTCTAAAGGTGTGTCTTATTTGTCCATAAATTAACATAATAACAAAACCAATGAATAAGTGTCTATTGTTTAGAATGGATAAAAAAACTAATAAATATTTTTTGCCTCATACACATCTTGCTTAGGTATTTTAAATATTAATAAAACTATACTCTAAGAAAGTTAAAAATATGCCTTATGAAGTTGTCATCGCGATATTTTATAATAAGGAAACAGTGATAAATGTATGACAGGCAAACAATGAAATACCATTAGATCATCATCGAATTGAAAAGCCATCATTCATACTGTGATTGCTATTGACAGTACTATTATGATGGCGTATTTGTAGTTTCACTCGTTAGTAAGCCGACTGTCATTTGATCCCTTCGTCGATAAATCGTATAATTATTTTAGGGCTCCGTATCAAAAAAGTACAAAAGAACACTCAATATGCTATTTTGTACCATATCATAGTAATATTATACACCTGGTTACAACTAAATGGAACAACAGATCTAACTTTTATCTAAAATTTGGTAACTTCCAGTGTATATATGAATACACATGTATATATGTACACATTACCAACTCAGTGACTGCTGAAATATATTGCTTTGATAAATATAGATCCATCGGCAACATTAGTGTTGAAATTAAAGTCTTTTCCATTTAAACGTGATTAAGTAACAAATATCTTCACTAACACAAATTTATTAGTGGGAATTTCCTCTTTGAATTCGTACATTTAAATCATCGTAACTATTTTTTGTGTCGTTGTGTTGTGTGTGTCATCGGCACTATTTTGGAACAAACTGAAATCATCAAGACAAAATAGTATAGCTACTTTCTTAAAAAACTTGACAGGTAAAATGGAGTTCTAATGGTACCACTACTAGAGTAAGTAGATATAGTAACTTCTAAAATATGTAACAGCTATAAATTATATATGCATATGTGACATATATCCTGAGACGAGAGAATAAATCTTTTATTCTTCCACTACCCCTAGTCTGTAAAGACAAAAGAAATTATTTAAATCTGTGAGATACACAATATGTGTAATAATACATATCTTTATTCATGTAGGTCTATTACAGACTCTTATGATATGTCAAATCTACCGTCAGTTAGGAATGATTTCGAAATGAGAAGAACTGACAAGAAACTAAGCTCGTATTCTTTTCAAATTAATATTATACATCTTTTTTTATTATTTTTTTTTTAATGCAAATTTGGGAGAATAGAGTTACCTCCAGCATATGCTATTACAAAAGCAAATAGTCTAACCAGTGTTCGCAAACCAAACAGACCAGTCCCCACAAGCACCCGTTCACGAGTATGACGGATTTTAAATACGAAACCCTCTATGTATAAACCCAACTCAAACATGGCCGTTTATTATTTTAGAAATTTTCGTTTAAACCCATATCTCTCTAGCGGTATGTAATTAATACAATAATAAGTACCCGTGTCCTCGACCTCTCGCGGCCTTTTCTAATATTCAATTACATAAAATACTTGAACTATACTTAAATCAATAAATCATTATTGTTCATTCATTCTCTTCCTTATTTTAAATGTAACCAAATGAATAGAGACAAACGACTGCATTGTTTTGAAATGACAGTGACTACAAACTAGTTCCAAAATGCGCCATTTTTCTCACACTGGTAGCCGATATAAGAGCATTTCGGATTAATGCAACGTATGTAGTGTAATTGTATAAGATTGCCACCGTGTTTAATTAATTGGTCACACTACATTTTGTAACAGTATTGGCCTCAAAAATATCAAGAATATTAGAGAACGTGGTCTACTTATGATTAAAATACAATCATATAATTAGCTCTTAAATATTCTTGTTGTTCATTGTTGAATCCAAATTGAATAAAATTTTAATATACAACTTATAAAGTACGAAACGTCTTCGTTATATCTTTATACTTTATCAACGTTGACGATGACTATTAGGTCACGTTTCCTATAATTATCTTCTACGGTACGAGTATTTGTGATTATACATATCTAACATTTAATTCATAGGTTCAGTAAGAATAAATAAAAAATAACACAAATAAAAAATAAGAAAACACAAAAGAATACCATATAACTGAAGCCGAAATATACAAAGCACATGTTAAGTTGTATGTAACTACTACTACTGTCACAGGAATTATGAATGTCTATATTCATTATGAATGCATAAATTGGATTCGCCAATATAAAACGTTATGTCATGATAGTGACGCAACAGTAAGCCTATGAAGATTTCCGTTGTCGCCAAGAGTATGCCATCGTCGTACTAACATGGTCTAAGGTTAGTGAAAAGAAAGTCCGTAGGTACGCCTGAGATGATGTTGGGTCGAGCACTCTCCGCCTGTGGCCGCGATTGCTACGCGCAGGTAGATACATTGTTCGCATCGCACGAATTGCGATCTTTGACCCTACTACATGACATTTTACCAAAAGTTTTTATTACATTATTAAACTATAGACATATAAAATTAAAATTATTATGTGCATAAAGTTTATCGAAAAATTGGAACTCATATGAAATTTGGTAAAAATTGGGCTTTATTAATTGCGGTAGGCGGTATGACTGCGGTAGGTATAGCAAAAAATTATAAATTAAACTACATTTGTAGTGCTTGTACTTAATTATGTAAAACAGCAATTAACATTAATAATTAACAGTTAAGTGATTAATGACGATAGCAGAGTTATGTTGTAAACGCGTTGAAGTCTTTAGTATGGAAGCAAATGTCCGCATTGTATCCCCTTATTTATAAAAATTTCAAACTATAATAATTGTATATACATACAAATATATGTATTTTAATTATTGATTGTTTGTACTTTTCTTAGAAATATTTTCTTATTATTCTATTTGCTCAAATAAATAGGTTTCTATAAATGGAGGTAACAATAATATCATTGTGTTTATGCACTAAGATTTTTGTCAGTTTGGTCATAACAGAGCTAGTTTTTGCGACAGGTTTGAGGTCAGTATGACTGCTTTTTCTTTCTTTACTATAGAATATATAAAACATGTAAAACATTTAAAATCATAGTAGTAAATGTTACATAGATATGCTAAACATATTCGTCAATTATTGCGTGTCGACGTCAATACAAGTACCTACAATGGTTTGCTTCCAGTTTTACGAGCGATTATTTACAGTTACGTGTTAGTGATTACGACGCGACGGTGGGTACTATGATTGTATTAGATATATTGTGTTAACAATTCTGACAATGTTTTTACATAGTATACTAGCGGTTAACCTCGGCTTTTCTTCTGTGGAACGTATTGTGTTGTATATCTTGAATTTCCAATATAATTAATGTTTACATCATTAAAATGTACATTTATGGCTAACTACAAGTTTAGAGCCTCCAACAATTTAAGTAGTGCGTTAATCACCTAGTTAGGAGAAGTATCTTAATTTTTTTATATTTAATATCGTTATCAAATTAAAATTCAAAAATAATTTATTTATGTCGGACATTTTAGCCGCTTATGAACGTCAATTTTTTTACATTGTATATTTATTATTTTTCCCTACCGTTATAAATCACATGACATAATAAAACAATGTAATATCGATTTACATTATAAAATTGAATCAACTATGAAAATAGCACCCACTACACCTACTTCAGCTTTTAAAGTAGTCTTCCATTATTTTATTGTAATGGTTTTTGGAGATATAATAATTAAATAAGTCTAGATTCTAGATCTAAATTTAAAGGATGTGCAGGGAGCACATCCTTTAAATTTAATACAGTATAATCTTTCATTTATACATAAAACATTTTTCAATATCTAAACCATTTTACCTATTGATTTTTACTGTATTCTATTTGGTTCCCTTCTCCCTTCTATTGTGTTCTGGTTAATGTCGGGACAATAATGACATATGTCGGTTTTTTATGAACAAATGTATTTACTTTCATTGAATGTTGAAAGAGAAAAGAAAATTCTTATAAATCAGCTAGCACTCACAGTACTCATTATTTACTGTACACAATAGTTATATACTATTTCTGTAATCTGGAGATCCGCATAAGGGCATAAAAAGTCAACGTAAAGTCACGACATGATCTCTACCCACTAGACGCGCTGTTGTGTTGCTTCCGGTTCCCGTTGCACTGGCCCGAAACGGGTATAGTTCGCACGTATTTTTTTAGGGCTCCTATATAGTAGCTCGGCGGGAAGGGGATTGTTCATAATGTGGACTGAAGACTCCATGCGTTTCCCCCGCAACCATTGTGACAAATTTCGTAAACCTTTAGCGAAATTTTGCTCATATAGACACATGTATAGAAGTTAGAAAGGATTTCATCCTCTACGCTTAAATGAAAGTCTCGACAGTTTTGCAAAATTCCTGCCGCAACTGTTTATTTGATGCGAGAGACTCCTCTGTTTAGCAAATAATGACTTCTAAAGAAAACAGTTTTTGACATGCCCGTCTGAATATGCACTTAATTATTACTAATAAAGTTTACCTATAACCTATTATTACAGTTATAACGAAAATCAAAATTATCAAACAATTTTTAGTACATTATCAAGTTAATTTGAGCTTCACGGCTAATTTACTCTTCAATTACAAATCAAGCGCAGCAACCGCGATGTGTGCGTATTAATCAATGAAACCACAAGAAGGGGTCAGGTTTGTAAACAGTGTCATGAATATTGTCACAGTGTCGCATCCTCGTTATCGGATGTCATATTTTACACAATCGGTAGTTATTTTGGGCGGCGGGAGCGAGAAACGGCGCAACTAAACAATTCCCACAGCGCAGTGTATACTGATACAGCAGCGCGAGTGCCAGTGCGCGTTCGCACGCGATCGACCCCAGCTCGGATTCGTGTGTTTTCCAGCTCTGTAGAGATATAGTGGAACCAGTGAAAATCTTCCGACCGACACCATGCGACCAGTGAGTAAATTTTAGTGATTAATTATGGAACATTACTAGTGTTTTATTAGAAAAGAAGCAAATGAAAGCTTTATTATTATATTGGAAGTATTTTATTTTACACTTAATACGGATTTTATCCTTAAAGAAAATCGACTACAGTAAGTGATGGTATAACTTTCTATAGTTAATATTATGAGTAATAAATATTAAGTTGTTTATGTACGTACGAGTATCTTAGATAAACCTACTAGAAAATAGCTATCTCTCATCACCCAGCAAAATGATTTTCTCTCACGTACATTACGTTATTGTATGTATACCTGTCATCAAATCTGATTTATGGCTATGATATGACCTTTCACTCCACTGTTACTTGTGTTGTTCAGTTCTATAATGTTATGTATTTAAAATTAATTAATTCAACATCAATAATTTTTGCTTTCTTTATCTGTATTAATAAAAAATATCCCTTGCGGACAGGATTACTATTTGTATGGAATTATAAATTTATAACCTATACGCTGGTATTAGATACTTAAAAATTTATATATAGTTAACTAAATGATGTTGACATGACGTCTACTGAAGGCAAACCTTCAAAATTTCCCACGGGAGATATGACGTCAATGTCTACCGGAAAACCGGTTCAGCAGTAGCATGTACCTACTTTGTTTATATCCTTTATAAATAATCAAATTCAAAATTACATTGTTGCATTGGTCTCCTATCCTTACTTATAGTCTTTAAAGCTTGGCAGATAGAATGTGGCTGACTGAATTTTCTGTGACAATTTATATTTTTGAGTGAACTCTGTAGTGAATAAACTAAATTAATCTGAATGACAGTGATAATCTCTTATGTATTTAGGATATTATACGTCGACAATTGGTATATTCTATTCTATCACGACTAACCTGACTGTGGTTACTTTTATCAGGATATATATTGTATGTAATATGTATGCTTGTAGTTATGTACATTTGTTATTTATATTATATAATTATTAACTAAATAATTATTTAAATTAATAATGTCAGTTTTAAACCTTCTTAATACAGATTTGCAAGAAAGCTATAAATATCAGTAAAAGAAAATAAATGTACTTTCCCCCATTCTCGTGATGTAAGCGAATAAACGTGTGATGGTGCGATCTGCTCGTTTACATGAATTGTAGGAACTCGGAAGAGACAGCTATAAACTATTAAGGATTCGACAGATGTTCGCCGAGTTGCATGTATGTGTAGTATTATGCAGTCTCTTCGGCATATGTCGTGCCGGTGAAATTGATTATTCAACAGTTCTTGTTGAGTGTCTAGACAGAATGAGATGACTGACTCATGGAAATAAATCTTGACATTGCAAGAATACTTTTTCTTATTTAATTTAGAATAACAAATAAGCTGGATCATACAGGGAAAGTAATAGCTAACGCTTATAGAAATGAACATATGACTCATAGATGTATGTATAGATTTGGAAATCTATATACCTATTTTTTCTAGATATGTACAATTTCAATAGTGGACTCATCAAAATGATTTTTCAAAGGACTCTTCAGAGGTTTCTGTCGCCAACTTTTCTACTTTTTCTTTGACAGTTTGTCAAACAAAAAGTAGAAAAATTGGCGACAGAAACCATAGTGCTGCGGCAATACCTGTCCATGCCTCATGAAATTCTTGAATCTTTCTCTATTTCAAAACTTTAGTTTTTCTCCATAAGCCTTAAGTAATCATTTATTTACTAGGTCACCTAAATTGACAACAACTAATATATGGATAAAAAGTATGGATGAATTTGATGTCCGTGAAGCTTTTATTCAGGGCACTGCTTTCCATCAGTTTTATGCAGCAATAACTTTTCACAAACTATAATCCACTTTGTAATAACTTCATTCATTTAGTATTTAATACAATATATTCAAGAACCGTTTTTCTTTTAATGTATTGACCAATGTATTTAGAGAAAGTTATTCAATATAAAAAATATCGTATTTTCATCGTAAAAAAATAAATATAATAAATAAAGCTATTATTTCAATCATATATTGATGCAAATATTATAAACCTGTTACTAATAAAATTACATAGACAGGTATGAAAACAGTTTTTTTTATTTACATTTCATATTGGGCAACTATCTTCATGTTACCTTTCCATAAAATTAAACGTTTTCTCTGTGTGATTTGAATAGCCAATAAAATTTGAGAGACCCCTTCGCTGCTGACTATTGATAAAGGGTCAATCGCTAGTTATATAACGATAGAAGTTTACAACAACAGATAAAATAACGCGGCATATTCTTCATTATAAGTCATTGGTAGACAGTGACATGTACATATGGATATTTTTGGCTAGCGTTTGCTACCTAAAAAAATCTTACTGTGTTTAATAATACATATTTACTTCTATTATTATTCAATAAGCGTGAAAGTAAGTATGTTGGTACTGTTGCCTGAAGTTCTCATGTTACCTATTGACCTAAAATTTGCTATAAATATACATACAGTAATTTAGTATTCTAGACAAGACAGACAAGGTACTTTTTTCTGCCATATTATATTAATTTTCTTAACGTCAATAAAATATTATGGATTATTATTTAACTTTGACATAAACCACATAAACTTATTGATATTATATTACTATTCCCACTGATACCATTAAGAACGAAGTGATCATTCAATTTCTGATAAAAATTAATTGAAAAGGATTACTGCGATTAACCCCATACAAACGTAATGCGCAATCATGATGACCTACTATCGTCAGCAAATAAATTATAATAATTTCTTTTTATTGCGTTATTATAGTGGTAATTCGAATACTAGAAATAAAAATGCGTATAGCAGTAATCCAAAAATATTTTTTGATATTTGGGTTGCATTTGCATGAAACAATGTAAGGTCATAACATGAAGCACTCGAGTTGATGTAAGAGAAATGAACTTAAAAATATTATATTTAAATCAAGCGCATTATTCAGGTAATGATGGCATCTTGAGTTAAGCGATTTCATAAAAAATTATATCTCAGTGTTCATGATGCAATGATAATTTCATTTGATAGTTATCATTTCCCAAGATACTGACAAATATCAACGTACTATTGCAGATGTCTTTGATAAGTAAAATTGTATCTGTAATATGGCATATCTTTTATTTTATCGCATAGTCTCTAGCCGTGGGACAGTGAAAGCCTTATATTTTTGATATTACTCTCACGCTTTTTTATTGTTGATTAAAATATACTATACTTACATTTTCTATTTTTAGTGTTCACACCAGGTTAACTTGACATCCCTTGGAATGTCTTTGGAATGTCATGAATAGCTTACCAATTATTTAACAATAGCAGTGTAATTCTTTTCTGTAGAGTACAGATAATGCCACATGCCTATAGGGGTTTAATGACTTCTTTACTTAATGGCATACGCTTGATTTATTTTGGGCGAGGTTATGCCACGGTTATGCAACACAAATTTATCACGCCGACCAAATATAATAGCGTAAATAATATGCATATTCAATTGGACTTAGGTCAAACACAAAAAGTGGAATAACGTAACACACACATTCATCAATACTATTGTAAATATTCAAAATTTTAATACTTATGACCTTTGACTTACAATTTATTCTATTTCAACTAATTGACAGATGATTATAAAAAAATATAAACAATTTATTTATACTGTTGGAAACATGTGTACGTTTTCTTATTTTAACGCCTACAAATATAACCTAATAGGTTATATTTGTAGGTACAATAGATATACATAGGTCTAAATACTGTTGTACATACAAGACTGATTACAATACGAATTGTAATATTATAAAGAAGTGAAAGACATTGTAACTCATTCAGATAATTGTACACACATACAAATCTAAATACTATATGACAGAGATACCGGCTTATTATTACAAGGTTTAGAGGACAAACAAATTACTTTTGATTAAATGCGATGCGAGTATATATAATCAAATCGACCCATCATAGTTCCCCGCCGCATACGATAAATTAAGTTCTGTTACAAGATAATAATAATAGTAATTCTACACTATTCAAAGTGAAAACTAATAGTGTAAGTCATATACATATTTACTAGTAAGTTATTCTAGCTATTCTGTTAATATAATAGATAATTGTAAGTACTTTACATATGTGCATTTTATATGCAAACACTTAACGAAAAATATCCAAACTTGCTTGAGGTCGTTATATATAGCCACGGTTATTAAACAAAAGTTATTTTAAATTAAATTAACTTTAACATCATAGTTCCTTTCCATTATAGGTAATTTATTAATTATTATGTATGCGAAAACGCAGGTATATATATGATAATATATGAATAATATAATAATTTCAGTATTCAACACATTGTTGTTTGTTGGAAAGTCTTGCGATTGATCTAATAACTGCTTTGAATGATGTAAAATGATAAGCCAAAAATGGAGTGATTGGGACCGTAGACTTTAAACTTTTATTCAATTTAAACACGAGGGGTGTTTACACACGACACTCAAATCAAGGATGATATCGAAGCAGTGGTGGTAAGGAAAAAGGGTCGGACGATATCGATCCTGGTTTCGAGACGTAACTCACGTTATAAAGTGCGAATAATGCATATACCTACTCATAAAACATATATTCTAATAACTACGTATATAGATTATAAAATCAACTACTTGGAGAAATATTACTATACGGTTATTGAATGTATCATAGATTTTTGCTCTATTTATTATCATAAAAATCAAGAATATTTCCTCGATTTGAAGACATTTTCTTAAATTTTCCAGATACCTTTTTATTGCTATAATTATTAAATCACGTAATGATTGTGCAGTGTACAAGATTATTTATTATACTAAACGAATAGAGCACACGTACCCTCAGTTGTTATATCTTATGACAAGCTGTGTTATGATTAATAACTATGCAATACTGTTCGGTCATAATTAACATATCGTCTAATTGTTACTGTTCAAACCATGATAGAGTAATAATTAAGACA